ACATTAGGATTTAGTATGCAGCTGATGCTCTGTTAAATAGTAAGGATACATAGTGGAACATGACCAGGCAATGAGAGAAAGACTATTTCCTGTTGTAGGTGCTGTTATAAACACTTGAGCCATATTTACCTGATAAATTGTACAGTAACCTATGTGCTGGTACTATTATTATTGTCACTTTACAGATAAAACAAACAAAAGGAACTGAGAAATCTTGCCAAAGTTCTTACTATTACAAAGTTTCAAGTGGGGAATGGTGGCACATGCCTGTAATCACAGTACTTTAGAGGCCAAGGCAGGAGAATTGTTGTGAGTTCAAGGCTACCTTCGTCTACATAGCCAGACTCTTGACTTTTAATAAAAGGAGTAGAAGCTGGATATGGTGGTGCATGTCTTTAATCCCAGCACTTGGAAGGCAGAGGCAGGTGGATCTTTGTGGTTTGAGGACAGTCTGCTCTACCTAGTGAGTTCCAGGCTAGCTGGGGCTACCGGGAGACCCTGTCTCAAAAAGACAAAATAAAAGGAGGAGGAGGAGAAGGTGGTGGTGGTGGTATTTGTAAATTTGGAGTTTATAGCAATACAAAAAAAGTAAATGATTAGCTTAAAATAAATTATTTCATCTATTGAATGTCAGGAAATGAGGAAATCGTTCTTGCAAGGTTAAAGGCCAATACCAAAGAGGCTAGCCTCATATCCCTTTCTGGCTGCAATTCCTCTCTTACACCTTGACCAAGAGAACTTATAAAAGGAAGAGTTTATTTAGCTTACAGTTTCAAAAGGGCAATAGTTCATCATGGCGGGAAGGCATGGTGGCAGAGGTGGCTGGAGTAGGAGTAGAAGCTAATCTCTCACATCTTCAACCAGGCACAAAAAGCACAGGATGACTGGAGATCCAGCAGGCTTTAAGAACTCCCTAACCCTCTGCTCCCCCCTTGACATGCTTTTTCCAGCATAATCACACTTTCTAAGACCTCCCAAAATAGTGCCACCAACTCGGGACAAAAATGTCCAAATACTTGGAGCCTATGGGAGACATTCTCATTCAAACCACCGCATTCCACTCCCTGGCCCCCATAGACTTATGACCATATAAAATTCAAAATGCATTATTTCAACCTTTAAAGTTCCTATACTCTTTACCAGTCTCAATACTATTTAAAGTGCACAGTCCAATGTCTCTTCTGAGACTCAGGGCACTCTCTTAACTGTAAACCCCTGTGAAATCAAAAGACAAAGTACATTCTCCCAATGTACAGTAGAACTGAATACACATTCTCTTTCCAAAAGGGAGGAATAGTGGCATGGTGAGGGAATACCAGACCAAAACAAGACCGAGAACCAGCAGGGCAAACACCAAATCCTGTAGCTCCACATCCAACTTCTGGGACTTTACTTCCAAAGGACTTAGATAGCTTAACCTCTCCAGCTTTGCTTTATGAAATGTACATCTCTCTCCTGGGCTGGTATGCTCCCTGTATGTAGCTCTCCTTGGTATATGTCTCACAGCTCTGGCATCATGAATGTCTTCTTGGGATCTCCGTTGCCAACCAGGCTTCATTTTCACAGCTTTGCACAATGGCTTATTAGGGCCTTCTTTATGAAGGAATGCCTCTGTTGCATCCTGTCTGTCTTTGGCAGCTCTCTGAAACCACAGAGGAAGAACTGATGACCCCATTTGCTTTTGAGTCTTTCATGCCTCTAAAGTCAACACCAGGTGAATGACACTGCCAAGTTTGGCTGCAAGTTTGGGATGGACCCCAGCCTGCTTCATCCACTTTCAAAGCATTTCTCTTTAGTGGTTTTCTAGTAGAAAACCCCTACAGCATTTTCCTTTCACAAGTTGGAGGCTTAGCTGGGTGTGGTCTTGCCCTGGAGGCACTCTCTCCTTTGTTTTAGGTGTAAATCTCCAAGCCTCTCCTTAATCAATTTAATCAAAGGGATGTTCTCCATCAGCACATGACTTGACTTCCTAGTGTGCTTTTTCAATCCAAACTTTACATTCTGTATTTCTTTCTGACCCATTTGCTCTTTTTCACTGTAGATCTGCATAATAGTCACCATTAATAGCGATACCACCATTTCTACATTAGGCTGTCTTGAAATATCCTCCACCAGAGAAATCAGTTCATTGCTTTTTAACTTAGGCTCAGGCAAGCTTTTTGGCTTTAAACAGACTCCAGCCAGACCCATTGGCAAAGTATCCCAGCTGCTGCACAAGTCCTTATTTCCCTCTGGAACTACATTGTTCTCAGCACTAGTTTTTTCTCGGAGCCTACTAGAATGGCCTGTTAAGCTCTTGTTATAGCAAATAACTGCTTTTCTAGTCCAAACTTTTAAAGTCTTCCACATTCCTCCAAAAGCCCACATGGCCAGTTTCTTCACAGCCAAAACCCCACTCCTGGTACCAATTTCTGCTTTAGTCTGCTTTCAATTGCTGTGACAAAATTCTCTGACCAATACCAACTTGGAGAGGAAAGGGTTTATTTGACTTAGATCTCCCAGGTCACAGTTCAATACTGAAGGCACCCAAGGTAGGAACTCAGGGCAGGAACCTGGAGGCAGGAGGCTGAAGTAATGCTGCTTACTGGCTTGCTCCCCTGGCCCATGCTCAGCCTACTTTCTTATACAATACAGACCAACCTGCCCAGATTTGGCACCATCCACACTGGGCTGTGCCCTCCAACATCACTCAGAAATGAAGAAAATACTCCATAGACATGGACACAGGGCACTCCAATGGAAGCAGTTCCCCAGTGGAGGCTCCTTCTACCCAGGTGTGTCAAATTGACAACTAAGGCTATCCAGCATGCACCTTCAGTCTCCCTGTGGGTTATCACTTAGGCCAGGAAACCTCCGCAACTGTTTGCTGATACTTTTGCCCCTGGTGCACTACTATCAGGGCTAGTAATGTCTGTTTTAGACCTTCAACTGTTCTCAAAGCATCTCAATACTCCTGTGGCAGACCCCGTTTGACAAGCAGACATGCCACTCCATACCACCTACAAGAGGACGGCCGTCTCAGGATTTATCCCACTGACATCATCCACTTAGGTGGCCTCACCCTGGTTACACATCTCACTACCTAGTGCACTACACATGCCACTTCCACTACCCCCACCATCCCTATGGGAATAGCCCACCATGTCAAAACTTCCTCTACTATCACTCTCCCCTCGCTCAGATTCCCTTCGGTTGTTGGGATCCTTCCACATATCATAGAAAACACATTGCTCTTCCTAAACTCATCCTTGGTTTGTTGTAGCCTGCCAACTATGCCAATTATAGCTAAAATTCCTTCTGGGAGAAACAAATGACATCCAGTCCCCTACTCCCTTGGTCCCTACAACAAACTGAGGTACAATTTCACCAAACTATAGTCTGGGTAACCAGTGTTTTTATTGGACTTATTTATAGAGCAGTGAGTTAGAGTTTACTTTCAGGAGTGTGGGTGCTTCCCTTCTAAGGCTGCACTGGAAAATCTCCAGGCATGGATACTGACTTCCCTACAGCCATGCAAAATGGCAAGAGACCCTCCCTAAGGCTTCCTCAGCCTTAGCCCCTCCTCCTTGCACAGCTAGGACCAACTGGTTGGTTGCAGGTTGTGACTAACTCTCCCTGCCCCTCCTTTTTTGTGGAGTGTAGCATTTAACAAGTTGGGCTGTGATGATTCTAGGAAGGCAGGTGCAACCAAGCTTGGGAAGAGGGCATCTCTCCAGAGTCTGCCATTTGGAAGACAGCCCTATGTGATTGTATGTAAATGCACCACATGCATACACTGCCCTCAGAGGCCAGAAGAAGATGTCAGATACCCTGAAACTAGAGTTATAGGAGTTAGGCACCATATGGTTGCTGGGAACTGAACCTGGCTCCTCTGCAAGAGCAGCCAGTGCTCTTAATCACTGATCCATCTCTCCATCCCCTGCTTTGCAGTTTTAAGGGTAAGAATTGGAAATTAGTAGGAAATGAAATAATATTAAAGAGATTATGTATGCCTATGGTGCAATTAACTGTGAAGCAAGAAGTGTTAGAGGGAATAGCTAAGCATTTTCCAATTCCTAATATGGAAAAAGGAAGTGTGTGGCAGAAAAGTTGTTAGGTAAAATAACTCTCTTATCAACTGCGGCAGGGTTGGGGGGGCACTCAGTAGCTAGAACTTTATTGGTTGCTGCCAGAAACATCTTTGAGTTCCACACTTGTTTTTAGCTCTACATTCATAGCACCCTTGACTAGTCATTATTTCTAGCTAAGACAAACTACAAGTCACTTACTATCTGGTTTTCAGTTCCTATGGATTAAAACATGGTAGGGTTGGGGAAGCAGTAGTGTATGGTCTGAAATCTGACTGTTTTTAACTAAGCTGTACAGTTTTTCTTTGCTTCCTTACTCCCCGTTTTCCTCTGTAGTGAGATTGAACTGGATAGATCAAACAAAATCTGTTGAAAAGGAAAAAACAGTAGGCACTTGTGGTGTGAATAATTAATGGCTCAAGGTATTCGAATGAAGCTACAAATTCCTTTCTTTCGTAAGAGGAACAGAGAAAGAAGGTGAAAACTGTTTTTATTAACTATGCTTTCTTTGTGTAGTTTAAGGTGTGTAGACAAAAACAAGCCATTTGATTTAGCCTTCTGAGCATGTTGTTGAGGTAAATATCTGTATAGGAGCTTAAAATGTCCTTATCTAGGCCAAGAACTAGACCAGGAAGAGGAAATTTTTTAAAGTATGAAGCTATGTTGATACTCATAAAAGTATGGCAGGTTTGAGAGAGGCTGGGAGTAATGGATTCACTTATGTCAAGAAAGAGAAGTAATTACATGTGGGAAGTGGGCAACTAGTGTTGTTGGGAACCAGTGGACATCATTTTGATGGGTAGATTAACTCAATGTTCTGAAAACCTATGTTTATAGAGGACATACAGATGAAACCAAGAGTACATGTCATACTTATGCATAAAAGGAAGTTGATTTTTTTTTAAAGTTATCATTCTCTTGTATCTGTTCTAGATATGGATCAACTCATAAACAACTTGGATATTCAATTTAATTCAGAAGGCAGCTCAATACAGATATTCAAACAGGTGAGTTCTTTAGGTACTGTGAAGATTGTGCTTTGTTTTGTGTCATTTACTCTAATCTATTCAATAACCTTGTTTGAAATACATATTTGAAAAATATATATGGAGAGAGAGAGAGAGAGAGAGAGAGAGAAATTGGTTGCTATGATGATTATAGAGGTATGGTAAGTCCAAAATCAGATGGAGTAGGTCAGTTCAAATCCAAAACAAAAACAAGGTGCTGGCAGACTTCTTGTATTAGATGTGATTATACAGGTCTGTAATCCCTATCTATATATACTCAGGAGGTTAAACAAGGAGGATGGTGAGTTCTAGCCTGGGCTACATAGGGAGCACCTGTCTCAAAAAAAAAAACCAAAACAAACCCAAAACAACAACAAAAAACCCAAATCGGAAAATGCAGTTCTTTCTTTCTTGCATTGGGAAAATCAGTCTCTGTCTTTGTTTTATTGACATGTTTGACTAATTGATTAAAGTTGTTCCCATTATGGGGTTAAAGTGGTTTATTCAAAGTCCAATGATTTACTAGTTTTATTTAAAAAGAACAGAAACATCTAGAATGTCGGACCAAATATTTGACACTGAGTCAAAATTTGTCATAGAACATTAACTATCAGTAGTCTCAATGTTCACATTTTACAGAAAAGAAAACTGGTTTTCAGCAATACGAAGACATATTCAAAACAGATTATGCGGCTTTTATAGCTGAGCAGTTATGTTAGATTTTGAAATCCAACATTGCTTATGGTTGATTTTCTTATTTTTCTGTTTTGTTTTTGAGATAGGGTCTTACTGTTGTATAGACCTGGCTGGAATGGAATTTGCTATATAATGAAGATTGGCTCCAAACTCACAGTAATCCTCCTTTGTCAGTTTCTTGAGCACTATGATTACAGGCATGGATTACATTCAAGGTTGTTGTAAGTAAGGCAGTGTATAAGTCAGTCAAAATATAATCAAAATTACCTTGAAAAATTGGTTAAATTGCTTATAAATTTGAGTAGCCAGTTTTTTATATATAGTCAGGTGTGGGACCACACACCTTGAATCCCAGCACTCAGGAGGCAGAAGCAGACAGGAATCTGTGAGTCTGAGACCAGCCTGGTTCGCATAGTGAGTTCCAGGCCATCTGGGGAAACCCTATCTCAAAAAAAAAAAAAAAAAAAAAACAAAGTTCTTAATTTGTATATATAGGATTTATCTGTTTCTTTTTGTTTTATTGTTTCATTGTCTGTAATGTTGTATTTCTGTATCTTAATTTGATACCAGATAAAAATACATGGGTTACATTTAGGAGTAATCTTTAGGTCGTGTGTGTGTGTGTGTGTGTGTGTGTGTGTGTGTGTGTACACACACACACACACCTTTTCATTTTTTGGAGATAGTGCCTCAGTATACAATCTTGGTTGGCCTGGAACTCACTATATAGACAAGTCTGGCCTTGAACCTGTAGCATTTCTCCTACTTCTTCCTCCCAGATCCTGGGATTATAGGCGTGTACTATCATGTATAGCTAATGAGTCCTATTTTCATTCAGTTTTTGATCAGCGAATGATTGGGCTATGGAATATAATTGGATTTAAATTACATGTGTATTTGGATGTGATTCCTTTGTAGTTAAATTCAATTTAATACCATTTACGTTACTTGTAGCTGGTGCCATTTAGAAACTATCAGCACATCAAAACTTGCTAGTTGTGAAACATATGCTGGAGCTTAGTTACAGCTAATAGTAAAAGGAAGCTGAGTTTAAGTAGTATTAGGTAAAAATTACTGTACTTGTAGTGAAAAATACTCAGTGCAGATTATTTTTCTATTGGCCTTGACCAAATACCTGAAAAGGAGGAAGGATTTGTTTTGGTTAACAATTTGAGGGTCCATTATAGCTGGAAAGGCATAGTTGCAGGAGCAACTGCCAGCTATGGCACCAGCATTCAGCTAATCCTCTTTGGAAGTACCCTCAAAGATGTTTCTAGGTATCTCTTAGTTCAATTGGGTTTACAGTCAAAATTCACCACCACACAATGAAATGTTAAACATGTGTATTTACCTTATTTTCTAATTTTACTGCATCTAAGTATAATTTCAGGAAAGTTTGCATTATTTAAGTTCCAGAATTTGGAAACACTTTGAAAATGCTTCAATGTGTAGAAAATTCTGGGTTTTAGTTGATGTAAGCACTATTTTTGTTTTTTAACATTTCTATTTATTTTAATTTTTTATTTTACATGTGTGAATGTATGTAAGTGTATCCATGTTGTGTGGAGGTCAGAAGAGGGAGCTGGATTCCCCTGGAACTGGAGTTACAAATAGTTGTTAGCCACCATGTGGGTGCTGGCAATCAAACCTAGGTCCTTTGCAAGAGCAGCCAACTCTCTCAACTGCTGACCCATCTCGCCAGCCTTTTTTTTGACATTTCTAAGATATTTGCTTTTAGTAAAGCTAAGGTGCCTATGGTACATGGCCACAAAATACTGGACAGGTCTCAGTGGACAAAGACTGAGAATTCATATTGTATAGAAATCAAAATGGGAATTAAGTATTCTGGTGTGGTTCATTTTTATTATATTTATACCATAAGATATGCTTGGTGTATAATTATCTAGATAAGAACACACAAACTACTCTTTCTGAATTTCTGAATAATCATAGCACACTAAAGAACACTTGACTACCATGTACCCCTTGTTTCTAGTTTCTGATTGTTTCTTTGAAGAGGGTTTTTTTTTGTTGAAACTTATTAGAGTTATGATTGTGTAATACATGTCTCTCCCTGCATACATTGGTTTTTGGCACATATTTTGTTATAATCTCTCTCTCTGTCTCTCTCTCTGTCTCTCTCTCTCTCTCTGTCACACACAGAAGAGACATACAACATACTCAAATTTTCTTATGTTTGAAAGCAAGCTGCATCTAAAAGTTTTGACCCTGAATAACTAAGCATATATCACCTGCAAATAATTGCATTCTCCTATAAAACTCCATCAGAATTGACACCCCCCCAAATGTATAATTTTTCCATAATAGTATCAAATTGAAATATACATTTCTGAAAGATTCTCAGTATAATCTTTCTATTTATACAGTTTATTTAATTGTATGTGTATGAGTGTTTTGTCTGCATATGCTTAAGTGCACCATGTGCAGGCAGTGCCCATGGAGGCTAGAAGGCATGTCAGAGTCCCTATAACTGGAGTTATAGATGGTTGTTAATTGCCCTCTGTTGTTGGGAACTCACCGGGGTTCCGCTGCAAGAACAGCTAGTGCTTTTAGTCTCTGAGTAGTCTTTCCAGCCCCTCCCTCGACAATGTCACCATTTCTTTTTTTATGTATATATATTTAAAAATTTTTTAAATTATTTATTTAAAGCCACATACTTAGAAGAAGCATTTCACTACAACAACATTGACATATTCAATAACAATTTTCTGAGCTAAGATGCATCTCTTTCAAAAGTTAAATTAATGCAGTTATACAATAGTGTACTCAGTATAAACCCTATGTCATAAAATTAAATGATGTTTTAACCTTTAAAAAAGATCTCCATTTCATTATTAAAATACAAAGTTTCATACAGAAAAATTCATTTTTAATGCAATTGCACATGCATTTCTAATATCTACATATCTGATTATTACTAGTCACAGTCGGTTACTTTCTGAACTCCTTGGCATCTGAGAATGGATATAAAGTCAGCAGGTAGATTTCACATCTACTAATTATTAAGGAGCAAATTTTTATGCTTTGAAGAATTGTTATTTTTTACCATTTAAAAAAATTTTTTGATAACTACATGATTAAAAGAAGCAATTCAGTACAGCTTTAACATATTCAGTAACACACTCCAGAGCAAGAGTACATCTCTTTCACAAGTGGGTGCAAGTTTCTAGGTTCACAGTTGAATTAATACAGTTATACAATATTGAATTCAGTATAAGCCCTGTAAGACATAAAATTGAATGAGTTTTTAACCTTTAAAAAAGGTCTCCATTTCATTTTAGAATATACTGTTCCTTGCAGAAAGACTCATTTTTTTTGCTACTAATTCTGAGATGTTGTCACATGCATCTCTAGTCTGCATGTATCTGCTTATTACTAGTCATAATCGGTTTCACTTGGATCCTTGGGGCCTGTGTATGTCTATGAAGTCATTGGGTAGATTTCAGTAGTAATGTTTATCACCTCTACTAATTAGCATGATGTAAATTTCCATGCTCCCTCCTCAAATATAATACTTTAAAAAATTTGATTTTGTGTGTGTGTGTGTGTGTGTGTGTGTGTGTGTATCACACAGAACATCCCAAACCATCTCATTCGACTATA